GCAGCGGCTGGGCCGGGCAGCCCGGGACACAGACAGGTTTTATCGGTGCAGATGTGGAAAACGCAGAGCTTCAGGCACCGCCGCTTTGCAGTTTTCTTATATTAGTGGCGAAAGGTCAGGTGTCCTGCGGGAACTGGAAAGCTGACAAATGCGACCCACTAAGGGAAGGGTTACATGCTTCAGCTGCTCAGACATCTCGGCTCTTTACCCTGGTGCTGGTCGGCCTCTGAGCAAAAGCCGTGATGTGCAGTGACCTCATCACTGTTGGGAAGCCATATCCAAACTCCCTAACCCTTAGCCCCGGTTTGCACATCAGCTTTTTACACAATTACCGGCACGCACAGTGAGTCACATCCTACAAGTCCAGGGACTTTGTCCAAAGAAAGACTTCAAATCTGCGCTCGAACAAACAGAATGAAAATCCTTTCCTTGGGGTTATTTCTCTCTCATCCTCCTTTCTTCCTTTCCTCTGCCCCATGCACCATCTTTTACCAACCCTGCCAGGCCGTTTGCTTTCTGGCCGCGCGGGGCAGTCCCCGCGCCCGCGCAGCCAGAGCCATTTGCAGCCCTGCAGAGCGGTTTGTGGCAAGGGGCAGGGGCAAGGGGCACCTCCGGTGCTGCCTCTGGGGACCACCCTCTGCGGGCAAGGCCAGTAGGGGCTGCTGAATAAAAACCTATGTACAGCTAGAGAAACCGGTACCTCCAGCAACAGGGCTCAGCACCAGGTCTGGGTGGGCATCCCAGAGGGGTGTCCCCTGGCAGCTGCTCCCCGTTCCAGAACCGCTCCCGGGGTGAAGCACCAGCCATGGGAATGGAGACCCAGCACAGTCAGGGAGCTTCGTAGCTGTGGCTGTGCTTTTCAGGGACAGGCCTTTGGGGATCATTTTCCATTTCACCTGAAAATGAATCCTGCAAGGGAGTCTGCTGGCAGGGGTCTGTTTTATGTTGTAAGCTCGTATTGCAGGATATTTGCACAGACAGAGAAATACCACCTTTTCACCAAGGATAACAGCAGGACTGTTTCCAGTACCTCCAGCCGGGCAGGGGTGTGGTCCCGTGAACAAAATTCAAGTAAATTTGTGTCCAAAATGTTTTTGATTTCTACAGGGAGTTGCCCATGAGAAAGTGGCAAACCAAGAACTATCACACAGATCCACTGATGAGCAGAGGCAAGCGACGAGTTACACACTCGTACTGGGTTAGGTGCTGTAAAGACAATTAGTGGGAGTGTGTTCCAGTCAAGGTGGTAAAAAGAAATATGAAGACGCTTGTTTTCCTCAGATGTGTGGTAAGGACCCGAAGAGGTTTTTCTGTTCGGCCAGAGTGGTCAGTGCTTGCTCCTGGCGTGTTGGTGTCTCCAGATGAGTCAACGAAAGCCGCTCCGGCCCCACGGGCTGGTACCACCGCCCGGCTGAACCAGGGCCTGGCCACACAGCAAGGCAGAGGCGTTTATTCGCTCTTGTCTTACCATTCTCCTATCTCTTTGTTTGCGGCCATGAACACTAATAAACCCAAGGAAAATTAGAAAATCACTTAGAAGAGCAGCAGAAGGAATCTCCCCCTTATGGGAGCATTTGCTTTAATTTAAACTATCTAAAGATAATAAATAACAGGGCTCCATAATGACATAATTTGCTCGTCTTCTTGGTTTCAAAGTATTTTTTAACAAGCAAAATGAGGTTTCAAACATGTCTGTGATATCTCCTCTGGATTAAATATTAATCTTGATGCCAAAGTAATAAACACAGAAATCCTGCCTGGTTGTTCTGACATGCAAGTCCCTAATTGTGTGGGAAGCTGCTCAGATGGGTTTCAGTTTCAGCAGGCGCACAACTG